AGCAATCCATCGTCAGCTCCAACTCAACTTAGAAAGGGCGAAGGAAGAATACAAGAGGCAGGCAGACAAGAACCGAAGGGAAGGTGAAACCATAAGGGTGGGAGATAGGGTGTGGCTGTCAACCCAAGGGCTGCTGCTCAAAGGAGGTTGTAAGAAATTAAGACCCAGGAGGTTGGGTCCCTTTGAGGTCATTCAACAGGTCAACCCAGTGGCTTTCAGGCCCGGTTACCCAACCACATGAAACTGCACCCAGTATTTCACAGGTCGCTACTGTCACCGCACGAAGGGGGACGAGAAGGGCTGGCCACTCGGGACCGGGTCGTAGAAGAAAGAGAATGCAGCAGCCATGTGGCAGAAATCCTCGACGCCAGGTGGAAGGGGGATCAGGTGGAGTATTTGGTAGCGTGGGAAGGAGAACCGGAGTCAGAAAACACTTGGGTAATGGCTGAAGATATCAATGACGAGGTATTGATAGAAACGTTCCATCAAAGGTTCCCAAGGAAACCTCAGCCTGTGGAGAGGTTCCGGAGGGAATACTTTGGGACCACTGATGAAGGGGAGGAGTTGGAAGGATTCCCGGACTCGGAAGGGGAAGGGGAGATGGACTCTGAGGAGGAGGTGTACTTCGAGACCAGGAACCGCAACAGGTTGAGAGAAGTGTTCGAGACATCGGAAGATGAAGGAAGTTCATTCCGGGGGTTTGCCTCCTCACCGCCCGTAGGGGAGGGGGCGAGAGGGGGTGAAGGGGGCCCTGGAGGGGGAGGTGGATGTCAGGGAACTGCCATCGGACGGAAGGGAGGTGAAAGGGCTCACACAGGTTGGGAGAGACGCAGCAGCTGAAGAGGAAACCAACAGGGAGGTGAAAGGGCTCACACAGGTTGGGAGAGACGCAGCAGCTGATGAGGGAACCAGCAGGGGGAGAGGAGCTGAGCTGGAGGGATGGCTCAGAGACACTTCCAGCGAAAACAGTGGAGAGGTTTCAGGACCTCCTGTAAGAACACCCACTCCTCGCCGGAAACTGTCACGCAGAGATTCCAGAAGACGTGTTTCCGTTAAGGAGCTTTTATGTTGGAAGCGATTACGAAAGCAACCACTGTCGGAATCTGCTAGTGACTAGAGTAGCCATGTCTGAGGGGCTCTGTCACAGACAGAGGTTTGTGGACTTGAACAAACTCTGAGGGGATACGATTTTACGCACAAGCAGCTCATCATCCCATCACAGTGTATGTTCTGTATTAATTTATGAACTATTTGTTACAGTTTTTTTGCAAACCCCTTGGAGGTTTTCCTGATTATTCAGCATATAAATCTTGTTTAAATAAATAATTTTTCAGTAAACTGAAAGTTAATTTTCAATAGATAATTACATCTATTGTTTTCCGTTAACACAGGGACCCCAAGGTAATAGCTTGGTAGGTTGAGGCTACCCTTTAAAATGACTAGGTAGCCCTGAATTCCTTTCCACCATGGCTTAATCCTTTTTGAAGCCATTGCGCTAGTGATCATCATGCATTGCACGAAGGAAGACTTGGATTCATCCATTTTTTAACTTGGAAATCTTCCTACAGTATATGCTTCCTAAAGCCTGCTGAACATATTTGATGTTACAGTACCTGGAAGAAGAAGAGAAGAAGAAAAAAGAGGGGGGGGAATCTGAAGATTTCATTACACAGGAGGTCAAACAAGATTATCTTGTTGCTCCTTATCTGACTAAATATATAAAAACATCTCCAGAAAGAATCCAGTGAAAGCAGCAAGGCAAAGGAAATAAGCTTGCACAGCATGGGAGAAGTTCCATTGTTACAAGTCGGAACCAACTCTAGGCATAAAGCACTTAATAAGAACCTTGCTGTTACCTTTTTCATAGCAATAGTAGGGGATTTGGCCAGTTAATCGCAAGAACCGCAGGGGATGCCGGTGAAAGAACAGTGGAGATCTGTTATTGCCGGTGGCTGTTCCTTCCCCTTTTGTTTTGTTTTGTTTTTGTCTTCTGGATTTTCCAAAACGTAGATTTTAGCAAAGTTGATGAACGTCAGCAGATTTCACTTTGCTGACTAAAGTGCTTATCTGAAAATGAAATTATGTCCCTTTTCCTCTAAGGTGTGGTCTGTAAAAAGAGGAGTGTAACGCATTAATCCCCAAACTGATGACAGTATGTTTCATGTGGAGTTTGTGAGCTGTTTTAATTTAAAGGGGCCTTGCCCAATTTTGTAAGTGTCAGCTCCAAGATAAGATTTGATGGTAGTATTTGCAGTGGAGTCCTTGCAGTGGAGGATTGTGGTGGCATGACCTCAGGCCAAGGATGTGGCTGTATGATGAGCCTAGAGGTCCGTCCTGCTCCAGAGCCTTTGTGGAAGTAATGTAAGCAGGGAGGGTTATCTGGAGCCTGCGTTGCAGATGACTTCTTTCAACAATTCACCCTTATCCCCCGATTGTGGGGTGTCATGATTCCATGTGGTAGAGAGAGAGAGAGAGTCTGTGTGTGTGTGTGGAAATAATATAACAAAGCACCTCGCTCACAAATTCTGTAGATTAGAGAAGCCACAGAAGCGAGATACTTTTCCATCCCTTCTCACTTTGGCTATAGCATGGCTATAACTAGCATCGCTCTCTACCTTGCTTGGCAGACCTGAATAAGTCTCTCCTCTTCTGAAGGCTGTACAAATTCTGCAGTTTGCTGAAGAACAAAATGGCTGCTCAAGCCATGATGTTTCCCTCCTCCTTCCTGTAACATGACTTGCCAGGCCCAGGCAGCCCTTTAAACATCCGTGCTTGTGAGCTGCTGCTTCTTCATGCTCTGTCTGGTCTTTTCTCAACGCTGAGAGAAGAATATCCTGTAGCCAGGTTGCATGCAGTCTAGCTGTATGTCTCTCATAGATCTCAGTGCACCTTCACCCTCACCTTCACCCTCACCATGGCTGAGGACAGTGCTGTTTTTCTAGAACAAAAGGTGCCAGAACTCACCAAGAGCATCTTCCTCATTTTCTTAGAATGGCCAATGGCACCCACCTGAGAGGTGCCGGAACTGAGTTCCAGTGGGTTCCAGCCGAAAACAAGCCCTGGCTGAGGTGACCTCTTTATTTGCCAGCTGTGAGAAGATGAGGGTGTGAAACTTAAAAGATATCTGTTCTAAGAGTTCTAACACTAACTGTTGTCATGTCAGTTGTGCGTGGCCCACTCCTGCACCAAAACCTGTGAATTATCATTTGCTATTGTGGGTAAGGTCTTTGTGTTGCCTTATGTTCCTTAAAGCTGCTCATATTATTTCCTAAGGTTAAAGAAAAAGGCAGGTAGGAAGGAAAGGTGAATCTGATACCCCTGTTTTCATGGGATGGACACCGTAATATTTCATGGACTTCATACCACACTTGACAGCATGTTTTCTATGAAGTAAGTCCCTCTGCATTTAATGAGGCTTGCTTGAGTGTGGGTGGGTATAGGCCCTCACATAGTTTTCTTTTCCCTTTAATAATGGAATGTTTTCAAAGCAACCTCCAAATTCTTACAGTCATAGAGGAATGTTTGACAAAGGTATGGCAGGACTGCTGAAAGATTGGTTGTGTTTATTCGTTTGTTGTTCCCTCAGTTGCTATATATTTTTTTATATCTGCGCATTTCAAATGGGTTCACCCCTGTTTGTCACATTTGAGTTGTTTCACTTGTAACAGGAAGGTTGTTTCAGAGGAATAATTTTTCAGCATATGTGCAACTGATCTACCAGTTCTAGCTGGGCACGCACCAAGTTTGTGAAAATAGTATGTATATTATGTTAATTACTTGCACTTGAAATATGCAATTTGGTGCGACTTCTGGCTTGTGATACATATCTGATGTAGAAATATCGTTCCAGTGCTGAACAAGTTGCTCACCTCTGCTCCACATGAAATAAATCATATTTGACACTTGCTTTAGCTATCAGTCTAGTCCAGCTGATGAAGATTTGATCTGGACTTGGCAGACCTGATCTGAATACCAAACACACTGTGAATTTATAGTCACACTCTCTGAGCCGTACTTGTCAGGGTGGATGAACTGACCATTATAAAAAATGGTTTGCGTGCTAAAGGGGTTAGAAAGATGTTAGAATTTCGGCAAATATGACAGCTGGTGGAATCAAGTGGCTAGAGTGCCAAGAGGTCTGAATTCAAATCCATGCTCAATTCATGAATCCATTGGGCCATCTTGAACAGAGAACAGCCTTGCCGTCTATTTCTTATATAAATATTGGGCAGTCCCATCAGGGGAGGAGAGCTGTATGAAGAGTCTGTCTATGTAACATACTTTAAAATGTTAAGAATACTAGAGAGTGTGGAACATCTGAGATCTTCTAACATTTTTGTGTAGAATCAAAAAATCATAGAATTGTAGATTTGGAAGGAACCCCAAAGGCCAACTGGGTCAACCTCCTGCAATGCAGAAGTCTCACCTAAATCATACGTTACAAGTGGCCATCCAACCTCTGCTTGAAAGCCTCCAGGGAAGGAGAGTCAACCACCTCTGGCAGAAGTCTGTTCCACTGCTGAACAGCGCTTACTGCCCAGCATTGGCTAGATCCTGATTTGGCTTGGAGTGCTACACTGGGAAAGGGTGGAGTAAGTAAGGCATCAATACACACATCAGCAATGGGTTCTGCAGCTGCCCAAGGATGCCGGTCCCTGATGCTGGTCCTAAGTGTGCCAATGCACTAAGAATGAAAGAAGAGTCTGCTGGATCAAGCCAAAGGCCCATTTGGTCCAACATCCTGTTATCACAGTGGCCAATCAGGAGAAGCCCGCAAGCACTTTCCCCATTTGTGATATTCAGAGACTTGTTGCCTCCCTTAGAGGAAGTAGAACCAAGCCATCATGGCTAGTAGCCCATGTGTTTAAGGAGCCTTCTTTAAGTAGCGGGAAACCAAAATCACAGGATATGGCTGGAGGCGTGTAAAATATATTCTGACTAATTCGTGTTGCCCATCACTTTAAAGTCACACCATTTTGCTTCTGCTTTTATTTTTACAGAGAAAGAGACCTTCTTGGACCCTTTCATATTGAGGGAAGTCCTGCCAGCATCTCTGGGAAGTTATTATCGGTATACAGGGTCACTGACCACCCCTCCGTGCAGTGAGATTGTGGAATGGATTGTTTTTCGCATGCCTGTTCCTATCTCTTATCGCCAGGTAGGTTTGAATCCACAAAGAGTTTGCCTGGTTCATTGTTTTTTTACTCCTTGCTTTTTTCCACCCATTCCCTGATACTTAAGCTGCATCTAGATTTCCGATCCTTTTCATTTTGGGCATGGCCCATAAAATTGAATTTTTAGGAGGAGGAATGCACAAAAAAATATTGTTGATGGAAAAGGAAGTTGGCTAATTTTGTTTTATTGTTCTGAGCATGAGCCGCTCGACACGAGAAGATAATAGAACATGACATTCTATTTCCTTCCAAATGATCTTAGCTATTATCATTCTGTTCAGATACATTTGAACTGTGGTCTAAATATTTACACAGAATCCTTTCTTCTTTCACTCTCTTCATGTTTCTTCCGTGACACTCAGCTAAGTACACAGACACAGATTTAGTAGTTTGGGCTAATTACGGAAGGAAAGTAATGCTTTAGTTAATTTACCAACTTTGTCTGTTGTTGTTTTTACAACATCACAAAGCTGCCATTAGTGTGCCTCTGGAACGAGAACCTTAAAATGAATGCATAGGAGGCCTTGCTGTAGATCAAGGCAGTGAGTGGCATTTTCATTGAGAGACATCCCTGAGTAATAACGTGGAAATATGCAGCTAAATGTTTAACAATTAAAAAGGCTTTGACATTTAAAACCTTTGTTTTCAAAATGTCTCCTTGCTAAAGTCTACCCTGCCTTTTATTTGCTTGTGTTAATACACCTCATTGCAACAGAGGCATCTGAGAGGGAACTGCTCATGTAAAAAGTCACTTGATCTTACCGAATGAATGAGTGTAAATATTCAATAGCTCCCCCTTGACAGAGGTAGATGAACGCAACAAGACAACAGTGAAGTCCACTGCTTCTCAGTTGTTTTACTCAGAGGACACTGCAAATCATTTACCTTTTCCCAGTTTCTTGCCCTGTCCTGTCTCCAGAATCCACGGCTGTCAAAGAAATGGATTAGATCTAATCAACAGGTGTATTTTCTGTTTGGTGCTGGAGTTCATTCCTGGCTACTACAATGAGTCCCTCTTCTCATAATCTAAAACTGATTGAAGCATAATTCAGGGAACTCACAGAGCCCAATCTTCCTAGCTGCAGCCAGGAACACATCTTTGCTTGAAAAATGTAAGCTGCTGCCACTGTTATTATTCATTCCATTAGTTTTCCTCTGAATTTTTTTTTTTTTTTTCATATTCACCACAGCCCACTTCAGGAAAGTGTTTACACACTTTTATACCTCTGTGGCTTACAGGTTGTCGGCGTTTTAATGAAATGTTTGACTTGACAGAGTTTGCCAACGCAAATACATAAAAATGCAGTCTACATATGCAATTGCATTATACATCCTGGAAAATATATTGCCATTTTTATAGGTTGGTTCTGGAAATGTATTAGAAACAAATACGGTTTGATCTTGAACAACCTGGTGCTTTCAAGGGCCTGGACATTTTGGGTAAAAATCAAAATTGCTTCATCAGTTTCACTCATGAAGGTAGTTCTTCAAGCAATGGAAAATAAATGAATTTTTAAAGTGTTTGTCAAAAACAATTTGCAAGCTTGGTTTGTGTGTGTGTGTGTGTGTGCGCGCGCACACACATGCTTTTCACTGCACATGGCCTTCTTTTGCCCAGTTTTCTATGACTTGTAATTGGACCTAAGTGCAGACAATCTTTCCTCTTAGAGATGAAATCTGGCACAGCAAAGAGCTGTGTCAGACATGTGGTTCAGTGCCTTTGCCAGCTTGAGGCTCTTGTTGCTTTGGATTATTATTACCCTAAGGTCCCAGGGTGGGTTAGGACAGCTAAAAGACAATATTAAAAAACAGTTTAAAACCACTTATAGTCTATGAAATAAGTTGGGTCCTAAAAATATACATCTCACATGTGAAAAGCCAAGGTAAAGAAGTGCATCTTTTCCATCTTCTGAAAACTGTGTTATGAAGTTACCCTATGCACCTCTGTGGTGAGGGAGTTCCACAACTTACAACTCCAGCACAACCTCCTAGCTGGCTGATGCTGATGAGAGTTGTCATCTAAAACAGCTGGAGGGCACCAGGTTGGCAAAGGCTGAAGTGGAGCATTAGGGAGTTTGAAAGGAGCAAGATCCATTTCCAGCTTTGCTCCTATCTTCAGAGTGGTAGTCGTCCCCCTCAATCTCTCTTTTTAGCTCCTTCTTCATTCTGTCCATCTAGCGCTAAGTTTGTTATCTCTGTGTGGCAGGGCCAAGCTTTTATAGTATCTACAGCTTGCAGCACAATAGGTCCCTCTACTCTAGCAACCGCTGGCCATTCTAGATACTGCTGTAAACACAAATAATGGAAAGATGGAATGGCTGTGTGCTGAGCTGTGATTTGTGTATTGAATGTGTGCCCCTCTTCTGCAGGATAATAGTAAAACACACATACACAATGCCTTATAAAACAAAAGAGGGGGCTGTATATATCTGTGAGTACATACAGTACAGAGAGGCTAGGAAAGAATATTTTTCTTGCCTCCTCCAGACACTAACTTTGTAGAGGGTTTCTAAAGTGTTTGCTCGCTTGGCAGGCTAAAAATGGGGCTAGATAAAGCTGTTGGCAGTGATTTCAGCGGGCAGCCTGGTTTCCTGTTTGATTTATCAGTCTTGGCATCAGTACTTCCTGCCATTTTGCATTCTTATCAGCTGCCCAGATTTTGCCACATTGGGTTTTTTCCCCCTAATTAATGCCCCCCTCCTTTCCCCCCCTTCCTTTTTCTTTCCCCTCATGCTGGTTTGCTACATTCAGCTGGAAGCGTTCTATTCCATATTTACCACGGAACAGCAAGACCACGTCAAGTCTGTGGAATACCTGAGGAATAACTTCCGGCCTCAGCAGAGCCTCAACAACAGGATAGTTTCCAAGTCTGCTGTGAAGGACGCTTGGAGCCAAATTACAACCAGCAGCTTTGAAAACCCACTTGGCACCGAAGCCTCCAAAGGTAGAATGGGGTACACCATTTAAAACAAGGGGAAATGTTGTGCCTTTAGCTCTTTGGGGGTTTTTCTTCACACGAGCTATTCAGGGCTGCATAAATATACTGTTGCACTTTTCTGCGAATATGCTTTGTTTAAAAAGCACATCTCCGACCCTCCTGCCCTCCAGATGAACCACTGTTGTGAGCCCATCAGACGTGTCCAGGAAATCAGACTTGTACTGCCACAATCTAAAGCAGGAGGTTAGGTTGAGGGTAAGGTATTAGGGAACCTCAGCAAGATGAGAGGCTCTTCCAGACTGTTGCATTAATAATCTGAATGGAAAACACTTGGAGACCACTCTAAGCAATGCTGTGACATTTCATGCTGCTTTGGTATATACAGAAGGATCTGCTTGTGAACCTTGATTTCACAAAAATACAAAAATGTGATGTTCCTAACATGGGAGGCTTGTGTCCCCCCAATTTTATTTTGTTTTATTTTAATACTTGTGATCTGATGGGATGCCAACTTTATCGATCATAGACAAAGGCCATCACAGCTTAAAACAAACACAAGACAATCATTCTATTCTTGGGGTAGTAGTAGCTCCTGCCACTTCCAATGCGTACACTGATATTTCAGGCTTTACAGAGGGCCCACGTTTTGCTAAGCATTTATTTCCGTAAAAGTGCTGAAAAACAGAAACCTTAAATGAAGCACACTTTCTGCTTAAGTTGCTTTTTAGATTTTCCATGTCTCTGGGATGCTGTCACACTGATCGTCCCGCTGGCTTCAGGAGGCAGTTTTGTTTCGTAATGAAAATTATTGAGGTTTCCTGAGGAATCCCTAATTTAATTAGCAAATCAATCAATGAATGAATTATATTGTTTCCCAAAGCTGCTGAAATTTAAAATCCCATAAAAGGTAGTATATTGTTGCTGTTATTATTCATTTCTCTACTGCTTTATAGTTTTAAGGGAAAAAATCTCAAAGCGACTTACTGCATTAAAAGATCGAATAGAAGAATCCAGAATAAAACATTGCTGAAGTAAGTCAAGCTGAAAGTGTACATTCAGTGCAACACATTTAACAGGAAGCTAAAATATTATCTTAAAATATTTCAAAATAAAACATTATAAAGAAGGTCGACTACAGAATGCACATTTAATGCAGCAAAGTCAACAAAAGAAAATTCCTAAACATTTCAAAAGAAAACACTACTAAAGGAAGTCAGATGTAAAATGCACATTTAAAGCAACATAGTTGGGAAGAAAATAAAATGTTACCATAAGCATTGAACCTATCTACTGCTGTTACTGCCAGTTCTGCCAATCATGGTGAGTGGCAGCTGTGGAAGCTCAGGCTCGATGACTTGGGTCTGCACTAAGAGTCAGCCAAGGTGGCCTCTGGCCTCTTCAGCAGCCTCAGCTTTTGTGGCTGGAGTCACTGAGGGTCCTGTCTTTCCAGGCCAGGTGGAAAAAGGCCTACAAGGCAGGGAACAAGTCTTTCAGGACTCACAACCATGACAGTACCTATGGATATATATAGCTCAATCTGCTATGTAGACAGATATATCTATACTGTACTAACTCACACACTTGCTGAGGCACATTGACCCAATGTATGATGGGACACACCCCATGTGAGGTCAGTATGCAAACTGGCCTCACATGCTTTGTGGCATGTCCTGAAAAGGCATGCAGCCTGCCTCATGGAGATCAGACATAAACAAAGCAAGCAGGCACTGGGAGCCTTCCTTTCCCCCAGGAACCCAGATAGCGAGGGGCTGTGGAGAGTTGTTATTCACTCCACATGCACCGACACGTACATATCAGCACATAAACAAAGCTTTGGGGGAAGCGATCGAGATCACAAGTGAGCTGAAAAATATGGTTAATCAAAAAATGTAGCATGCTCAGGCCTAATAATGACACTCCGGTTATGAGTGTTTGGAGCCGGTGTTGTATCATTGTCAGGAAGCTTTAATATTTATTGGCTGTGGGTTGCTCACCTCAGGGGCACTAATGAAAGGTAATAGCTTTGCATTATAAGAAAGTGACAAAATGGGCTTCTTTTTGTTTTGAGAGCAGCCCAGGTGCCTTGGTAACATGTTGCACAGTATTCGAGAAGCTTTACCACTTGGGGTGAATGCCTGGATAGAGTTCATCTCGATCGATGGTGTGGAAATGATGAAACAGCCGTATCATCAAGTGCTCAGTGCTTCTGGCCACACTGTCTTTTTCTGGCTCCACACTCGTTTCCAGGCTGAAAACAGCTCTATAGTGCTAGGGATGGTTACAGCCATAAAGAATTTAGAACAGGGCTGGGGACCCATGGTACTATAGATGTGACAGGATTCCAGTTCCCATCAGCCCCAGCCAGCAGGGCCAGTGGTCCAGGAGAATAGGAACTGCAGTTGAGGAAGGCCTATGTCAGGAGGACCATAGGTTCCCCAATCCCCGGCATGGACAGAGTCCACATACAGCTGCTGCAGTACTGACATGATGCTCTTTCTCCAGATGAGAAGTGTGTGACGAACTGGGAACTTTTAAATCTGTGCTATGCTGCCTCATATTGAGGCACCGAGAGCTGTAGGTCAGATGGTTCCTCAAGCTATGATACCTCCTCAGGCTCCAGAGTGACTCCACCCAGACGCTTCTGTGTCAGGCTTAGTCTTCGCCTGGGTAACAGTCAACCTTGTTAGCATTGACTCTCGTATCTATAAGTGTTCCTCAATTACAGGTCTTCCTGTTTGCTTAGATTTTCCCTCAGATCCTTGTCCCAGCGGCTCAGGTCTGTTGTCTGTCCAGCTCTCTAAATCTGTATAATGCCCACCATCAGAGAAGAGTGTGGTGTTGCTACTGAAGTGACCCATTTTCTCTTCTAACTTTAATGCACCAAAGAAGCAACTGCCGTAGTGTCATAACTCTTCCCAGCCTGGGGATTTGCTGTGATGGATAAGGAGCTATAGAGGCTGCTTTTTGCAGGAGATGCTGATTATATGCCGTTTATGGTTAAAATATGTTTGGGGTTAAAATATATTTGTGGTTAACATACACTTGCCCAGTACAGGAAGCCAATTTGCCAAGGGGTTGAGGTGAAGAAGTCTTACCCCAGTTTTTACTACATGCTAAAATGCATGGTAGGGGAGAAAAATCCCACCACGTGTCCATTAATCCATTTGACAAAGCAGAGGCATGTTAGACATCTTTGCCACTTGGTAAGCTCATCATCTGTACTTCATTGCTGAGCATGGATGTGAACTTGGGTCACCACAGTGCTGATCATTTAAACCAAAACTACTGATTTGCATCATAAAGTGCCTGGTCAAAGGCTCTTGAAGTCTTGGACGAGGTGCATCACATTGATTCGTATTCTCCATGCATAGAACATTAAGTAGCTGACTGATTCCATTCTGGGCAAAGGCGTCTCTGAGGTCTGATTCACACAAAATGTTTTTGCATGGTTTATGTCATTGACCCAACTGAATTACTACAGTGATACTGTGACATTTATAGTCGCAAGCACAGCACATGCAGCTTCCCATGTGATTTGTGTGGCTCAGCCTGAATTAGGAAACTTTCTGCAGCGCATATTCTGTTTATTTTATATTTATCTTATTTTATAGCTTTCTGTCCCATCCTTCCTCCAAAATGGAGCACAGGGTATTTTTTCCCCAGTCTTCAGAAGAAAATGGCCCCCAGAGCAGCTTGCCAAATGTCACCGATAAGACAGCCCCTGCCCCCAAGCTTATCATCTTAAAGACAGAACACAAAAGGAAAAGAGGTTGTGGGGGAAGGAGGGGAGGTATAGCAAACTTGGGTACCGTTTCTTAGTTACATAACTCTTGTCATGAGCAACTGGAATTAAAAGATTTCAAAGAGAGCATCCTAAAGTTGCTGTTCTCCCTGCACAGTTGAAGGAGAGGCCCTGCAGTTCCATCATTCTCCCTGTCTTATATTAGAGCCACATGGAATGGCTTCTGTAGATGATGGTGCTAGAAGGATCTTCGGTAGGTAGCAGTGGTATGCAAAAGTGCCTTGATGAACCCTTAGCAGTCAGAATAAACAATACTGGGCTGGGTAGATCAGTAGTCAGCATAAGGCAGATTCTTTGGTAATCTCAAACATATGCTGGAGATGTTTCACTAGTATGTCTAGTACAGGCTTCCTCAAACTTGGCCCTCCAGATGTTTTTGGCCTACAACTCCCATGATCCCTAGCTAGCAGGACCAGTGGTCAGGGATTATGGGAACTGTAATCTCAAAGCATCTGGAGAGCTGAGTTTGAGGAAGCCTGGTCTAGTACAACATGACAAAGATCACCATGTCAAAATGATCTGTGAATTCAGGTCACCAAGACCAAATGGGAGCTAGGATTTGAGCCCAGATCTCCAGGTGTCTTGGTGACAGCTGTTGGCGTTTTGCTCCATCTTAGACTGAGCAGCTATTTGAGCTCTTCACCCCTATGCCTTGTGAATTATGCCAGCGCAGATTGCTGTCCTCCCCCCACCCACCAGTAGTGGACTGGCAGAGCTGTTATATGAAACCACACCCTCTGGAATAGTTCTGTTTCCTGGGTGGCTTGGCAATTTCTCCCAGGGACACCCCTATTCCGTCCTTTAGTGGGGCACATGGGGTGATGATTGCTCCTTTCAGGCCAGCTTGTCCTTGAGTGGCTGCTTATGGTTAAGACTCTGTCTGCAGTGACAAATGGGATGCAGTTCTCTCAGGCTTGGTTGGCGTGCTAAGTGGACAACAAGCTCTAGGTGCATTTTTGCAAACTTGGAGAAAAGAAATACGCTCTCCCAGGGTTTCCAGTCTGAAATGAATTGTCATGCCTCCCTCTGAAGGTGACAGGGCTGGCTTGTATTTGTTGCTGAGAGACAGCAATGTGACTCTCCTGCAGCCTTTGCCTCAGCAAAGGTGAGGGAGGAAACGAAATGGCTGATCTGCTGCACATCCCGAGCTGCTGACATATAAATGAAATGACTTGAAGTCAAAATCCATGAGCAGAAGAAGCTCAGCTTGTTTATTCAACTCCTAAC